GTGGGATTTCTTTCCACTACCCAGCCTGAATGATTAACGCATTTGTCCCCCATTTTTCTTATTAGCTGTAATAGAGTCCAGGATTTTTTTTTTTTTTTTTCATCCAACCCAACAGTAAGTGTACAACCTGCTCCGCCTCAGACTACTGCAGGACATTTCACTGTTGGTCGTGGGTTTTTGTTTTTTTTTTCTTGTAACACAATCATCAGAATTGTGGCCAGTTTCAGGAATGAGAAAAAAAAAAGAGGATGTAAATGAGTCATTGTCCTGAAGCCACAGAAAGCGTCCAGAGACGACATTATCACGACTGTCAGCCGCCAGGGATTAGACCGCGCCACGGAAACGCCCGCGCTGTTGAACAGATGAAAAAAAAAACCATGACAGTGAATGGACCTGGAGCTGAAACTGTCTGTGTGAGTCTGCATATATTAGGACGTACAGTGGATCAGGTTTGATCTGATAATAAAATATAAGAAAACACAACCATAAAACAGAAATAATAATTACAACAATAATACTACAAAGACTAATTAATATTCTTATAATGAATATTAATAATAATAATAATTATTAACATTGTTATAGGGAACATAACAACAGTAAAATAATAATAATAATAACAGCAGTTATACTACAACTAATGATTATTATAAATAATAATAATTCTCACTACTACAGTGACAAATAGTAAAATAGTTTCATATATGTGTATATCTTTAAATAAAATATGTATTGAAATATATATTTAGCAGGTCGGTGCCAAAATAACCATTGTTTTTATTCATATTCTTATAAATATATAATAAATATATAATAAATATATAATAATACTAGTACTAGTACTAGTACTTCTTTCAGTGTTCTGATCCTAGGACCCTGCAGACGACAAACGCAGTATTTCTCCTAGTATGACCTAAATGTAAATTCAACATACCGTGTACTGTAAAGTACAGTAAAGTGAAGCGTGACATAAAAACGCAGCTCACATTTGAGTCTAAATGGTTTAAATGTTTTTTTTTACTCCGTCAACCTCCGACAGAAAAGAGACGAAGGAGAAAAGTCGCAGACGTTTCCTCCTCCCAGGAGAGAACGCTGACAATAACACAGCCATTTGAGGAAGACGGGGGGGGGGGTGGGGGGTGGAGGGGGGGGCTGACACCGCGC